CCGGCGGTCACATATTTCGCGCTTCATCGATCGGTCGAGAGGACCCCGAGCAAGCGAGCGACAAAAGCCGACTGAGCGGCGGTGACAGCGCGCGGCGCGGAGTATTTAAAACCGTTTAGTCGGACAGTTAATTACGCCAATAATTCCGCCGATGGAATAATAATGCTGATGCCATCCGTCGAGTCGCGGCGCGCGCCCCAATAAATCCGATCGGCGCGGCGCGGCGCAGCGCGACGAGAGAGTCAGAAAGGCTGCGTGGAGTCGTCCAGACTGTCGCACACGTGACTATGCACACCTCGCGCAATGATATATTGAGCGACGCGTGGCTGTAATGTCGACATTTTGCCTTAATGGAGAATGAGAGAGAAAGAGGGAGTGGAGTCTCTTAAAATATTCTTACAAATATATATGGAGATGAAACATTCTCCACCTCCATGATGTTCATGTTCTGGTGGTGGATATTAAGAAAAGAATTATGCCGTAAACAAAATTGTCATCTTATTATATTTTTCGGTGACTAATACAAATTTCGTAGTACGCGTTTTTTTTATTAAAACTTAATCTATAAATTTTTAGGCAAGATATATATTATTTTAAAAAATACATGAACGAACTTTCATATCTCTAAGAGATATATAAACCAACAAATTAATAAATTAATAAATAATTTTACAAGTTATGTAAATTGATAACATCGATATAATTATACTTCTATTTTATTCTATTTAAAAAGAAAGAAAATTATCCTAGTTATTACTTATTATTTCGTCGTACTCTCTAAATTTTTCAGAGTAATCTTCCTCAAAACGATGGAAAATTCATTCCAATCGATAGTGAAAATACTGCCACTCGGAATGAAATGACATTTCATTTTTCATAAGAGTGAATGTTTGACTTCAACCATAATAAATGTTTTATTCGCTTGAAGTGAAACATCAGTCAAGATGACTTTAGTATGAGGCCTATAGGGATGCGTTCTGTTTCACGTGGTTTCACATATAATGCGCATCATTTATCCTTGTTGTTTACCGAATGTTAAACAAGGATAAATGATGCATTGTGCATACCATACGTGAAATGGAACTTAGAGTCTTAAACTAAAAAATATTGTATTTAAACTCAATAAACGTAGATTCTTGTTAGCACTTTATCTTTAGGAATGTCGTCAATATTTCTATACATATAATATTGATAAAACATAATGTTGACACGACCATCAATATGTGATTCGTTTACTAAACTCCTTGCATTATTTCTAATTATTATAGTGATGTAGAGTAGAGACTAGTTGTAATAGGCATAAATAGTAACACGCAATTTTTAACGGGATTTTGAACTCTTTAACGTCGAATATTTAACATGCACGATCTTAGCCTTATAACTCCCCGCATTACGTAAGTACAACCAGCGTTCCGCCAGATAGTATTTGATAGGTTTCATAATACACACAATATTCAAAAATTGTTACAACAATTGCCCCTCGATCGTTTCCCTATTTTAGATTCACTTTTTAATTACGAATGAAAATATTCACTTCACGACACAGAAGAATTCATTCTATACACACGGAAAGTCACTCCAACTTAAGTGATTCGGTAAACATTTCATTTTTCAAGTGAAATTTTATTTTCAAGAAATTTAGAGAGTATACGACATGTATTATTTATCTGTTGAAGCATAAGTTAATGATATATGTCTTTTAAAATTTGTGGAATTCCAGAAGCAGAACATGATCGCATCAGCATAATGTTGTCTCCGAAATATGAACAAGTTGTGTTAAATTATACTTTCTAATCAGTAGTGAACGTTAACCCATATTGGAATGCGAGCGATTAAGTAATTGACTGCGATAAGAAATTAGCATGAAATGGGCATTAAGTCGATCCAATAGCCTCATTCAATGTTTAATATTTAATTTATGATAATTGTTATTATATACTTGGCCGCCTAGATTTTAATGCGTGCAAATCGTTCGCGATATCGTAATACAAATTAAGGAATAACACGCGATAGTGCATACGCGGAGGTAACATTATTAACAAAAAAAGTAAAAAGTATATATCCCAATATTTGCGAGGTAAAAAATCGTTTATTACTTTCATGCTTAATTAAATTCGCCATATAATAATCGCTATTATTAAACGAATTTACTTAAATGCGAAATAAATGAGCGATTATTTTTACTCCCCACGCGTGTTTGCTTTACTTTTATGAAATACCGTCCCTTTAATCCGGCTCTAATTAGGATCTTTTACGAAGTAGAGTTACGTACGTTTTTTAAATTTCTTTTTTACGCATTACGTGTACATATCTCGACTCGAATGGATTCACAGAGTTAGATATCAAAAATAAAAATTCTACCCTGTTCTGTCTCTTTCTCTCTCTCTCTCTCTCTCTCGTCGGCATGTTCCAGAACATAGTATTTTTCAAGTTCTTTCGGTCGTGGTTCACAGTAGAAAATACATTTTACATCGCGAATCAGTGCGTACACATACAAAAATTTTATGAAAGCATATTTACTCTTGCTACATATAATAGGGTAGAAACATGACAATGTTAATATAAAATATAATTTTACGAATAAAAATGTACTGAATAAAAAAAAGAGTTATTCGAGAACGAGATATCGGAAATATACCGAATTGAGAAGAGCATTCCGATAAAAAAAAACCATATTCTCTCGGTTAGATTATGTTGTAAAGAGAATTACTCAATTTATTGATTTTCGTGTAATCCGGCTTATTTTAGTATTAGCGTCAAACCCTGTTGTCTCTTTCGCTAAAATCCATCTTTCTTTTCATCACTTCTATCATACGAATTTCCTACAGCACGTCAAAGTAAATCTCGTTTATCTTCGTCACTCAGTACACGTTCGACATATTATTCCCTCTTCTGCTTTCCTTCTTTCTCATCTTTCTCTCGTATAATCTTTATCATATTCCTATCTTTTTTCTATTCTTTGAAATACTTGTTAGCCTTGTCGCAATCTCGGTGGAACTTTACCGAGACTTGACCCACTAAAGCACGTGTTAAATCTGTCATCGACTAAGCACTAATCGTAAGTATGTGAAAACAGAGGAAAGAAAAAAACAATAATAAAGTTGCTGAACGGAAACAAAATCACTTGAATTAACGCTAATATACGAAATTCAACCGAATTTTCGTTCTTTACCCCTTTCACTCTACAGCGAAAGGGGCAGAGACCATTTAAATGATCAAACCTATCAGTGAAATGACCGTTGGGCGTTTAATTAATCGCGTTAATGTTAATTAGGATCGCGATTGTTAAAATTAGTTAAATTTTCTTTCTTTGTCTATATATCATTAGATGAATTATACACGGAAAGAACATTTTGCTGAAGTATTAAAAAATTTAGTTAAATACAAATTTAATAATAATTTTGTTTAACTATTAAAATAAGTATACAGGACGCTAATTGCTAAAATATCAAAATTTTTTGTAGCATTGTTCATTATGCTTGAATTTTCTGTTGTATATAATTATTTTTAATCCAACAAAATTAGTTTCAGAACTGTATCTGGCTAACTTTTTAGTACTTTAACAAAATCGTTCTTTCCGTGCACGCAATGCAAAAGTCATGTTCTTACACGCTTGAAACAATTATCCAATTGTATGATCTATACGAAAAGTTTTATCAAATGCTAAAAAATTTCACTGTTAAAAGCTTCAATGTTCTTATGTTTGATACATACATTGCAATCTTTTATAATTATTTACAGAAATCTAATACTAATTAATACTGGAAGAGACGGTATAATTAATTACTTAATTTTAAATATTAAAAACACTGTTCTGTTCAATATTTCTAGTATTTTAAATAAGTAGTTAGATACTGTTTTCTAGTAATAAATTAGCCAGTATTAAATTGACCAATATTAGATTTCTGTAAAGATTAATAGAGATAACGCAAATAGGTAACTTTCGACGAAACACATACATCCACGCGAATAAAAGGAAATTTTTTATGATCGGAAATTTTCTGTTGAGGAGTCTTGCATGAAAATGCTTCTCTTGCTTTTAAGAAAATAATGAGTAAATATGGACTTTATATTGTCGGCGTTGTGAAAATTTCTCTTTGAATAAAGTTCTTCGCTATTTTCAATGCAAGCAGTTGCTGTAAGTGCGTCACGTACTTTACAATGATAAAAATAAAAGATTGTTCGAAATTTTAGAATGATAATATAGCATTAAAGAAGTAGAATAATTTAAAGCGAAGCGATATAATATAATATAATATTACATAAATTGCATTTTTCTAGAAAGCTAAGAAATTATAATTGCAAAATGATGAGAAATTATAATTGCAAAAAAAACGTTGAACATTATATTGTCCTGCGAACATATAAATTTGTACTTTTTTGTATGTTTATTCTTATTAGTTTTTCTTATATAATTTTTTTTTATTAAATTTAAAAAATAATATTTTGCTACGTTTTTCGAAAATATTTACTATATTTGTACCTAGATTAGATAATCACTTCTTTAAGCAATAATGGCTGTATTTCTTCAATTTTTTAAGCTTTGTGATATTATACATATATACATATATATAGACTTCAGAATTATTTCTTATATATATAATATAATATTGAGATGTATGTTCCGACATACACTGTCAATAAATATCTATAATATAATACATAAGATACACTATACATTTTTAATACTGGTATCATCCCTGCACGAAAGTGCAAATCTTGCCGCCAAATGTCGTTCCAGCTGTGGCGCGTCACGTGTTCATTGTTGACGTCGTGTTCCGTTACTTTTTATCGCTCTTTTATAACTGCAAGGACCTATCGAGAGTCGAGAATGCATCGGTGCAAAACGTCGTCGCGTTCGCGTTTATTGGCATTGTCCTAGTAGTCCTAGTACCCTTACAACGGAGAACATTCGTGAAACAAATTCTACAATGACGAACGGCATTCGTCGTCGATGTCATTGTCATTATTCGACGCTTTGATAACCGCGAAGATTCGAGACGATCTACCGATCATCGAGATTGTCGTTGTGGCAACGAACGAGATGCCACAGCGCGTAAAGTATTATAATGTACGAGTAGCCGTGATGACTTCGCACATTTTGAGGTTAAACCCGCCGCTCTCCACATGTTTTCCGTGTTCGTGTCATCGGCAGGAGCCTTAACAACGTAATAATGACGTTTTAAAACGATAATTGCAATAATTGCTGTCTCATTGAGGAGCGATAATACCAGCCTAAACGTGATGACACATTATCTTGTTTCAGTTATTGTGCAAAAACATGGCTTTGTTACGATACTTGTGGGTCTTGTTACTACCAGGTGAGGCGTGAAAGCATAGAGAAGTATTATACAAACCCACTAAACACAAAGAAAATAACAGTAATATTACATCACAGTATATTATAATCTTTCATCAATATAAATATATAGCATTATGTCATAATAGTTTTCCACTCATCAACATAAGTATTTAACATTATCAATACGAATAAAAATGTAATACAAGTTGTACATAGCAATTATACAATTGTGTTCTAAAATTTTTAGCATAATAAATTTTTGAATATAGTCTATACTGTTAAGTAGAATATTATAACAATTGATGTAGTGTTACTATTATGTAGTTTGTATTCAGTGACAATGTTTTCATTTTTGTTACTGTAGATTATATATGTCATTCATATTTATAGTTTTGACATGCGTTCAGGGAGTCCTTAGGTCCTCAACACAGGATTTAAAAGTACAACTCAATCAGCAGAACTCATTCAACTTATCATGGACGTGAGTAGCTTGTTATGAGTCGCTAACTTAAGTTATTACATTGGATTGCACTATAGATTGAGTACTTATAGATTTTATTGGCTATTATATTAGAAGTTATATTAGTTGTAATACAAGCTGTTATATTGCTCTTAGGACATGTATGTATTGACAGTGCTGATATTTGAAACTAATATGTTTGTTTTATATCACCTTCACCCATATTATAAGCTTACATCAATGATTCTAAGCATGCCATGATGACAGAATTTATTTTGTCCCCTTTTATACTCTAAAACTGATAACATCTAATGATATTAAAATGTAATATCATCTTCGGACTTTATACTTTATCATTCAATTACAGAATGATAAATTAATGATAGCTTGAATGATAGGCTCATGTCAGTGTGCTTGAGAATTGCAACCATGCGTATATACTAAAAATGAGATTTTTTACTAGCCATATCTTACTTTGCAGGGAATCATTACAACCTGATAGCAGAACTGCACTCGTTACGATAGGTGTACAGCATCCTGATCTGCTATCTGTACACCCATCAAGCTTTTATATTCCAGACTCAAAAACAGAATGGGTTATTTATGTTAAAGGCCTGAGTCCAGGTCATTCGATTGTTAGCACTAATGTAACCCCCAGTGATATCACAGAGTAAGTATATGTACTCGAACATTTTATAGAGATTTCACGAACTTTTTTTTACATTTTGATTAAACATTCCAATCGACTGTTGATATTTTAAATAACAGTTGATTACGAACGTGTATATATATTATTTGATATAAGTATTCATAATCAAGTATTGTGAAACAATAAACAGCGGAAAACAGCAGCGACCTATGGCACTGATGTCTTCGTTCCCTCCCTATCTTCGTGACTAATTGCGAAAAGATTCAGAAGATCAGTGTTACATTCACGTTTCATTGCACTAAGACTGCTAGCTAAGACTGCACAGATAGCCTTTTGACCTAAACTTGTCAACCAAGCTGTAACTTAAAGTTTCGTTAGTCTGTCTCCAGATGTTGAACAGATTATTTCCTAGTTCAATTGTAGTGTCTAATAATTACCGTGTTTGAATAATTTTATATATAACTTTATATAATTTATTTATAAATAATTTTAATATTTTTGTATCATTGATAAGTAAAGTTTTAAATATACATATATCAGTGATGAAATATCTGCAAATTTCAGAATTAATGCTACTATTTATTATAAATTTGTTAGTATTTTTTAAAATCGATTTTCAAAAAGTGTTGTGTGAAATAAATTTACCTCAAAATTTGCAATAATTATCAAAACTGTTAAAAAATGTCTATGTATAAAATTATTATTATACCACGAGATCAGTTACATAATATCGATTTAAAGTGAGCAAATTCTATTTCTTATTCTTATTTAACATAATTTTTTAAATAATATTTTAATGGTGTGTGCATAAAAATAATTTGTATATCTCTTTTTAGTTTTTCCCAAGCGTTTGTTAGAGTGACAATAGAGAAATCAGATACGTTATATCACACTAGTGCTGTGGTTGGATGGATATATTTTTTAGCATGGAGCGTAAGCTTCTATCCACAAATCTATATTAATTATAAACGTAAAAGTGTTGTGGGTCTTAATTTTGACTACCTATCACTAAATCTTGTCGGTTTTCTTATGTACGCACTATTTAATTGTGGCCTCTACTGGATACCTGAGATTGAGGTAAGATATTACCATTTGTTTCTACATCTTCAATGAAATAAAAAAGAGAGAGCTAACATTGATACATTTTCATAAATAAATTCTTTGGCAAAATATGTAAAATTAAAACGCATATTATGACGATTAATTAATTTATTAAAATATTTTCAGAATCAATACTTCGAACGATATCCAAAAGGCTTGAATCCTGTTCAAATCAATGATATATTTTTTGCATTACATGCAGTATTTGCTACTGCAGTAACTGTCGGACAATGTTTTATTTATGAGGTAACTAAACGTCGAGACAGCATGTATATTTAAAATAACTATTTGTAAAAATAGAAATATAATCGTATTTATTTTCACTTCAGATTGGTAATCAAAGAGTATCAACGACTGCACGTATTATCCACGGGATATTTGCGACTTTTATACTAATATCTTTGATATTATCTTGCGTGAAGACAATCCAGTGGCTCGATTTCCTCTACTACTGTAGCTACGTTAAGCTCAGCATAACACTTATTAAATACGTACCGCAAGCATTTTACAATTATAGAAGAAAGTCCACTGTCGGCTGGAGTATAGGAAATATATTTTTAGATTTTACAGGTGGCATTTTATCAATGCTACAGATGATTCTCAACGCTTATAACTATGGTAAACATATTTTATAAACAGATTTATGGGTCAATTCTAAGTAGAATCGTAAGACGTACAATTGTTAGTATCTAAATATCTACGATTTCTTGTGTTATATGGTTAATAAGAAGTTGTTTATAAAAATAATGTATAAAGGTATAAGCATCTTAAAGTTCTTGTAAGTCTTACGAGAATATGTTACGAGTCTTACGATTCTATTTAGAATTTAGGCATTACTTTCGTCTTGTAGAATATGTAAACTAATTTTTATAAGATATTAACATCATACATTTTTATCTCAGACGATTGGGATAGTATTTTCGGAGATCCGACCAAATTCGGTCTTGGATTCTTTTCTGTGGCATTTGATGTATTTTTCTTAATTCAACACTATGTTCTGTACAGGTATGTATATATGCATGCTTTAATATTGCTTGCGCTTCGCATCCAATCTATTTTGTTGCATAACTGTTTTAGAAATGAGCCTGTGCTAATAATAAAATAAAAATAACACTTTGCAAGTTAAGCTTTTATATAAGATTCAATGATTGTGTATTAATATTTGTATGCACGTAGAAAGTGGAGATGTTGATATTGTTTTGTATTGCACTTTTGATAGTATGTTAATAAGCTTATTAATTGCATTATTTAACTATTAATATAACAGCGGGCTTTGATACTTCATATATCGATACTTTACCGTATTATTTTAATTACATTTTATTGTATAAACAATATACACAATGAGAGATAACGTCTCAATACGAGAGTAGAATATCCATTTATTATTGAATTTCCTTAATCGCGTATGTATATATGACATTTCGTTTTATCTATTTAGTGAGCTACGTAATTGTAGATGTGACGTAGAACAAGACTTTGATTTTACAGACATAGCGATGAGAAGATGATTGACCTGAATGGCAGAATATAGCGACTCTTCGACGAGGACTTAATTTCCCTTCCTTAAAATTCTTTCCTAATTCATATTTTGTATAGATGTTTTTATATATTCATATAAATCTTTACATGAATAATTTCATTTATCATTATTATGTGCATAAGATATAATAGAAAGTATTAATATGTTAAATTATTCTAACCCACGCTCATACAATATTGCAAAGCAATAAACTCTTTTTATTGTTTTATAATAGATAGAATATAAAATTTAAAATGCGTGCAAAACGAATATATACCAACGTGCGCGATATTAAGACAAATGCAAATTTTTGTATATTCTTTTTTCTTCTCAATATTGATATTTATGAAAATATTTTACGAGAAATCTGTTTTAAAAAATCATATAAGTAAAAAGTTTGTATATCTGCAATATAAATATTTTTTACTTTTATAATTTTTATTGATAAATTTTATTTAATTTTAAGTAAACATATATGAATTAATAGCTATGACAAAAAATATAATTTATATTTTTTCTAAACATTATTTTGAATATTTTTATTGAAGGTATTTAAATTAAGAAGATAGTACAAATTATTGTCATAGGACTGTAAAAAATAATTCTAACATTGAATTGAAATAGTGTTGAAATAAAAATGCAGAGAGAATAATGCAATCTTACGAAAAGTTTGCACAAATGACATATTTGATATTTATCAAATTATAGAAAATAAAGAATTGTATTTAGTAGTTTATACATTGAATATAAAGTAAAAACACTACATTTAAAAAAAGATAGTATATAGATGTTGGAAGATTTTTTTCAATACAGTTAAATTTTTGTTGAAGGTTCAGAGAATTATATTGACGTTATAACGAATGATTATTATTGACGTTGTTACAATAAAAATAATATTTCACCGATATTTATGTCGACACAAAGTTCCATTTCCATTATATTCACATGGTTCCATTTGTTCATTACGCATCAAACTAAATCCCCACCCGAGATAATTACAGATGGTATTTTACATACTAATGTGATATATATTGACACGTTATACTATATGTCTAGTATAGTACGTTATATATTTTATTTAATTACTACAGGATAAATGTAAGAATCAAGGTTGATCATTCGCATGAAGCATGTTCCGCGTTTATTATTATTATTGTTATTATTAATAATATTATTATTGTTGTATTATGCATTGAAAAGAGTTAATTGTTGTAAGTTTTATAAATTGCACGATGATAAAAGACTGCGGCGATTTTATATCTATAACTTGGGAGAATAGTTGTCCAAATAGATTTGGGTGCTAAATACGATTTTGTGTGTGTCATCTAGTGTTGAATGTGTGAAAGTGTGATTTTATTTTCATTATGATATAAACATCTATCCCAGACAGCACATAGTTCACAATCGGAACATAAGACATCTTAAGGATCTTTTATGATATAACGTTTATGTTCAGAGAAAAATACAGCGATAGCAACAATAAAAGTGACAATTATATAATTTTACATGTAGAATTAATGTATATAATTGTATAAATTAATATATACGTAATTGAATATACTATTGAATAAACTATTTAATATATTGCAATAATTATATAAAGTAATTTATTTAATTATGTACAAGACATAGTAGTGGCAATTATGAAAAATGACTTAAGGATGTTTTTATAAAACGTTATATCCCGAATTTTGGACCATGATGCTACTTTGAGAATATCTTCGTTTTTTCGTCTCGAATCACAAATGCATAACAATATCTAAAAGGTTTCGTCGATAAATATAAGCCCCGTTATTTCTTATGTAACATTATATTGACATAAATCGAAAAATTTCACGACAAGAGTTTAATCGCGAGATTAATCCTCAGGCTCTTTGAGGAACAGAAGGATTAAAATTCTTTTCAGATAATGCTGCTTCATTTAAATGTATAATAACTATTCGCGCGAATATAATCATGACGAATGATTATGAATATACATATGTATATGCAGACGAAGTTTCTACTTGTACATATCTTCTAAACGAATTGTAACGTTAAAATAAAAAAAGTAAAGTTGCCAGTGCTTTCCCCTTTTACTGCTAGTAGGAAATGGCCTGCACTTTGATTCCCGTATTAATTCAGGGAATCGATTATGTATCTTGAAATAATATGAAAATTATAAAAGTGACAAGGCCATTAGAATATTTATAATTTTATTAGTTGTGTCGACTAATTTTTGGTGTGTCACCTACTGAATCTTGCTTACTTTTGTAATTTTTAGCATGTATTAGGGTCACAACTTTTTTTAATTTGCGGCACATTAAATAATGGTTTAAATTTAAATAATTTTTTACAGTTTTTAAAATGCTTTTTACTTTAATGCCTCATTCGCTATTTCGTTTCTTTTTACATTTTTTTTTAGAATTTTTGCGATACACTTGTTGAAATTAGAGATTTTCTAATCAAAGTCTGACCATGACAAGAAGTCCAGTGCTTTTGATAAAAAATGCGACTGATATGTTTTATCTGGCTCTGCAATGATGCAAGAGAAAAAAAGAATGTGCTGCTATCTTGCGCTGATTAACGCGATTTGAAAAAAAATGTTGGATCATAAGTATGCTATCTCATGGCCAGACTATGATTGTTTTCCTTTAGGAGACACAGTCACACAAGTATCGTATTATCTCTATTATTCAATGAATAATCAATACTATTAAATTCATAATGTCCAGTTATATCTATATAATTTGAGTTATTTGTAAACATGTTTGTAGATCGTCACTGCTCCTATTCGATATGTTATTAATTTAATTAATAATTAATACAATAAAGTTCAACAATTTAAAGATTCTCAAACGCATGATGAAAAAATTATACGTTTAAAATAAAGCGGTTAATGACAATTTAAAGCACTTAACCAGTAAATCAAATTTTGTCCTAAATTCAATTCTGTTTAAATTTAATTTTATTCTATTCTTTTTTGCATTCTTAGGACAAATTCTAATTAATTATAACCAAATTAGCTACTATACTTATATATTTCTCAAGTTGTTTCATGTCACTTCTTACGCCATAATCAAACGTAAAAAAAATTTAGTTGTAATTATAAAGTCGTAAATAAATCGATCAATCAGTTAAAAGTCTTATATTTTAAAATGCTTAACCATAAATGGTCGATATACTTATTATCTTACGACTACAACTTTTTCACGATGGCCTTAACTCATGAAAATTAATTAAATTTGACTCAAATTGATTAAATTTAATTTATTGATAATTTAATTTATTATGTACTAAGTGCATAGATTAATATGGACATTACTTTGAAATTACAGAAAAGGATTAATTTTGATATAATATAGAAGTTATAAATAATAAAATATATGATTTTAACTCAAGGAATGAGTTGTCATTGCTCCTTTGATATTTAATATTGAAGAAGGATAGAACGATGTTGGTATCGATTTTACTTCCTAAAAGGACAACAACCTCTGATTAAAGGATTCCTAGTCAAAAAAAACCCTGAGATTACAATCGATCTCCAGTTTGCTAACTCGACTAACTCTACTAATCAGCTTAACATAGTTTTTTTAACGATATTTAGAAAATTTGTGTACTCCTTCATCTCTTTCCGAGCGTGCCAGGAGATCACGAATCTTCGATGTGCTTAAAAAAATATGTCGCAATATTTTCTTTCCTTGCAGAAATCGCGCAGACTATGCTGAGCTGCCCGGCCATTGTCAAGAGGAGCCCGAGGGCGCCTGCAGCGCATGAAAATACGAAAAATCGCTTGTCGCATTGCAAAATCGTCCCCCTGTCAGAATGCTTAGGAGTAACGCTCGTCGCAACGCTGCACCCCTCTCTCTTCGTCATACGGCACACGCATAATATCCCATTTACGTCTCGCGAGAAGAGGACGTGGATAGCCATCCATGTCCTCCCGCCTCTCAATCGGAATCGAGATCAAAGAGAAATGACTTACCCGAAGTCGTATCTTCCGTCGTCAGCTCTCCCGGCAGTCGTAGCACCTTCACCGCCTTATGGAGACGTACGATCGCCAAGCTCTACCGATCAAGCTTCCTTTCAGGACGAATCGCACGCGAAAAGCACGCACCGCTCATGTATGTACACCGCACCAAAAGAGACGCGTAGACTGCCGGGACCGGTAGCGTCGATTACCGCGCTTTTTAAATATATCTCGATAATCGCAATTCGATTCTACGGCAGCGCGCGCAGCCATCGCCGTTCATTCGCAGTGCCTGATCGCCACGTGACCGTCCCGATAGTCCAACTGCGCAGAGCTTCAAGTCGTTGCATCAAGACTCTCGTCTCGTCTATCGTGTCGGCAGGTAAGCTTCTTCCATTATCTCCGTAAAGTTTTGTCGCTGTCTTATAAAAATAAACTTGATGGTTTAATGAGATAATTTTAAATGATCGTATAAACAACGCGTCACTATGCTCAATATTACCGAAGATGGATAACATAACCTATAAAAAATATAGTAAACACCAACTAATGTCGAATTCTGTCAATGCAATGTTTAAACGATTATAAATCCAATAATGATATTACTACCTTGAAGTGACCGGGGTAGATTGCACCTTTACCTTACCTTGGTATTTAACAGAATAATTTTATCATTGTATAACAGATAAAGAGAAGATTATCTTTAATGAGACTTTTTAAAATTATAATTTATAGGAATCTCTAATATCATTAAAAAATTGTTATTTTGTAATCAAATTATACTTGTGGATAATTTAAATAAACCTTTTGAAATTGACATTAAAATCTATATAGCAATCTTATTGATTGGCTTTATAAGATATATTTAAATATATTTTTATTAAAGGGCACTAACATTAATTTCAAAGAACTAAAATAACATCATTCGTAAAAAAAACAATACTGAGATTATTTTAATAATAGGAATTCAAATTTGTAAGTGTAATAGAAAGAATATATTTAATTGGATCCACATACAATGGATCCACCGTCTGCTCTCCATAAAGTTAATACGATGCAATCAATAAATAAATTATCAGAGTTTGATTGGAGTTGCCTTGTCATCATGCATATATGTAAATAAATTTATAATTAATAATATTAATAAATGATGTAAACTATAGAGATATTTCCTTATTTTAGAATGATCACTTCGTTTGCACGAATTGGCAGCTCTGCGACTGTCCTGCACAGAAGTTTTAATTGTTGGACGGCGGCAATTACGAAGAAGCACAGACCGGTATACGAACGGACGTATCCTACAACACTTGTTCTTTCTGATGGGAGTAGTATAGAGATCGAATATCATGAGCCGCGGAAGATAATAGTCCTACCATTAAATCTCGCGGAACTCACAGAGGTCGAAAAGAAGAAGAGACTCGAAATGCGTAAGCCGAAAACTAAAATAGTTATAACCGAGGAATTTGAGGATAGCTTTGATGAGAATAGATATCTCAATTTTAACAAGTGATTACATCTCAGCATTTGAATTTTTGTGTATTATAAATATTATTACGTGAAAATATATATTGATAATCCATTGAAACCTGTGAAGGTTTCATTTTTTGTATAACGTAATGTGTTCCTAGATAATTCTATATATTCATTTTCTTTATATTAGATATTACTATAAACTTTTGTAATATATTGAATATACTAAATATCATAATTGAATACTAGTAAATAAGTTTAATTATTTCTATAATTATTGAACAGTACTGTAAAAATTGTACTTATAAAATATGACGTGTTATGGATGTTACGCACTGATGTAAACAATGTTCTGTTAAAGATTAATTTCTAATCTTTGTAATAATACGATATAAAAGTATACAAAATAAAATTCTATACAACGCGAATATAATAATCTTCTTCTCCGTTCCATCTTTCTTTCCCACTATCGATTGCTTAGATTGAAATTTAATAAAATATATTTTTTTCATAATGTAAAGAGAATTATATGCGTGTATGAAATGAACGTAATAATTCCTCCTTGAGTTTTATTGGAAATGACCTTGAACTTGTATTGCAAAAGAAAGTAGACTATACGCTACGGAAATCGAATCGATTACAGACCCCATACCGCTTTCGAATAATATTCCTTTCTCATTGGTCAATAATCGTTTGGCTAAACTTGTTTTCACATCCGCATGAGGGGGCCTTGTAGCCAGGCGAGGTGAAATTCCTTTTAACGCGTGACGGATGTGGGCAAATTATAACAAGCTCCTTTTTTCAAGTAAAACAGAATTTCGTCGCCTTGATTCGTATACGCATTACATTTTGTTGATATCTTACGATTGCTTCGGATTTGTTCTACATTACATCAGATAATCGAACATTTTTACTGTTGTAAAAAAAAATTCAATTATCATTTATACCATAAACATGATATTCTTAAGGAGACAAGATTTCAGGGGAACTGCGACTGATTACCGATCATTAAACGATGGAATATTTTTTTACGCAAGTAGCACACATGTATTATCATTTGGTATGTTGCGTGACAAAAGGAGGCCCGCTATGACCGTCGCGATGTCGTTTGTTTTAGAATAATTTCCTCCGTGACGACTTTCTCCGATTCTCACCTTCGCGCACCAACACGCACTTTTCGTCGTCCTCACGCTAACCGTAAATAATTACTCGACGGATGAACTTTCAACGATGTACGAGGACTGAAAGTCTGTCTCATCGTCACGATGAAGGCGCGGGCAAGCGAAAGTGATGGATTGGTGCGAATCATTATGATCGATGATTAAAAACAACTTTGCTTGAGAAAGGCGGATGTAGCAAATATGTTGCAAGTTTATCACAATCTCATCGAATAGCGAATAATATCTGTACGGAGCTCTAAAGCTCATTAGCAATCAAGCAATTTCTTACTACTGCTTGCTGTCATTTCCAATATACATCAACTTGTAGAAATATCTTGTTTATATTGAAGCGATATAATCACACAGAAATATACATTTGAGTTTTGTTTTTCCTCTAGTTTATCTAAATGTTTCTAGCAATTGGTTCTTTTGCATAAATCTAATACTGGCCAATATAACACAGGCCAATTTAATACTGAAAGACAATAATCAATTGCTCGTTTTAAATATTAAAATCATTGCTGTTTTGTGCTTTTAGTCTTAAAGCAAATAATTAATTACCGTCTTTTAATAATAAGTCGGCTAGTATTTATAGATTTTTGTAAGCGTTGTCCAAACACTGAAGAAACAAAGTAATTTATTGCAAGCGTAATGTGGTATATCGGACAATTGCAGAAGATTTTTTTTTATTCTTAATAGTAATAAAAAGAAAAAAATATGAGTTTGACCAAATCGGATTCTTTAGCGAATGCATTTTTCGTTCCCTGTAGAGAATTAGTATATTAATTTATCCATTAATTTTCTTTTGTATTTTATTTCAATAATCTTGAAAATTTCTCTGCAAAATGTTACTGTATATATTTTATAGTAAATTATATTGCATAACGCGCGTTTGGATCGCACTGGATAATTGCATTCGTTTTCCACATTGTATGTGTTGTTTTGATAAAAATTAAAGGAAGTGTGATCTAATATGTCTGTTTGTCGATTCGAACATAATATGGCGAGCACTTTCGGCCACGGTGAAATCATCGTTGCGACAGAAGCGGGAAAATTTTTTTATTAAGCAACCACAGAGGGGATATACAGGTCGTCGAATATACTGGAACGCGTTCAGCATACGATGGTACCGTCGATATGGTTCGGGGTTTTATTACAACGAATGTTACTCGAGTCGTTTTACACTAATAGAATCGATTATATCAACTGGCGACGTCGTCGCAGAAAGTTAAGCAGTTATCTTTTTTTACTGATAATAATCCAGGTATTTTAAACTAAGAAAAATAATTAATGTAACTTCCTCAACGATAATTTTTATAATAATTAATTTGTAATTTAGTAGAAAACACTATCTGCTCTAATTATTAAAATCGCCAATTTTTCCACCAATTATTTTTGTTAATTTTCAAATATTACAATTTTTATGTATTTAGTGTTACGATGATATTATGCTGTGAGTACCTCTCTCTCTCTCTCTCTCAATAAACGTTTCCTTTTTTTAAAAATATAATTGAGTTAAATAGTACAATATAATATAATGAGAATATAAATTTATTATATAATCGTTATATAAAATTGATAAAAATTTAATAGGTTTAGATTTTTATTTGATGTGTTATTAAAAAATTATAACTGTCATTTTTATAATTTATTAAATATAATATATATTATTTTTAATAAATTATAAAAATATGATAGTTGAAATTTTTATTTTATATCTTTTTTAAAAACTTATATAAATATATATATATATATATATAAATGAATGTTTTCAAAAAATATATAAAGTATTATAAACATTAAATATGTGATGTATATGATTATAATTAAAAATTGAGCTTAAGAGCTATTCAAGATAAAACTACAAAGGAAATGAAACTCTTATATTATTATAGTATATGAATTATTATCTATTTTTTGCATAATTATCTACTGCTTATCTTGACTCATCGAATGTCAGCTTATAAATCGTACAAATTGTTTTGTACACATGTTATATTGTGTATCTTGTATATAGAAAGTTTTCTATGTGTTACAGTTACAAAATTAGATCTTAAAAATTTGGCATGAATAATCGCTGATGTTATTGCCGCATGTCCTTATTTTATGAATATGTTTTGTGTATATAATCTTATATGCATATCTATCCATAATTATGGACCTATACACATATATTGACCACAACTAATTAAAATCTTATCAACTTTCCAATAATTATAATGATGAAAAAACAAATTACAAATTGATACAAGGCTTGAGCTTCCTGATTATTTATTAACTTATTTAACTTAGTATGTACTTCCTAACCCGATTTCCATCAAATAATTTCTATCGGAATTATCAAACGCTAGCTAATATAAGTCTTACATCCTAACCGGTCGGAAATGTCTAAGTAGAATGTCTTTTAATAATATGTTAAATAATAAACAAATTATATTTTTTAAAAATACGGCTCACGATTACATTTAGTTTTATTAATGCTTTTTAAAACTTTATATCCACTTCTGCTAATATTTCTTAATATACTACTTTTCTGTAAATTATAGTAAAAAATTTTTCAGCTTATAAATACATTATTTCAGTATATCCATGGGCGTAGCCAATGGGGAGTAAAGAGACTATGCCAAATAGCTTAAAGAACAATAATAACTAAAAATCGTTTAAACTGACTATGTTTAATGAATTAATAAGAAATTAATTTTAGAAAACGAGAGAGAGAGAGAGAAAGAATTAGAGGTGAAAGTTACAGAAAAAGTTGAAAATTCCAGATGGCTAATATTATAAATTTTTATTTTTCAGTTTAAAGAATTACTTTACTAATTATATTAATTACTAATACTACCTGTGTTAGTAATTAATTAAAAATAATATTTAATGTAAAACACAATAAGTCCAATAATTCATACCACTCGACTATCCTTCCTCCTTTGAGTTAAAAAATTTCAACTTTTTGACCCTCCTCCCCCCGTAAATAAAATCCTGACTATACCCATATCAATGTATATCGCATATTATCTTTTAATGCTACTTTTGACAATGAGTTTGATAATTGAATGCTTGTTACCGTATATTTTTGACAATTGATTAAGTTTAATAATTGAAATATTCTGGAAAGTAAAGAGACTTATTAAAATCTTATTTGTAGTACAAATTAGTTCGGTCCATTTTCCAAAATATGATCGCCTCCAAAGAAGTCATTTTTTCGAGATGGAATTCGAAAATTGCCTGAGAGATGGGAAAAAGTAGTAGCCAGCGATGGACAATACTTTAATTAATCTGTTCATTCATTTTCTTTTAAAATAAATGCATTTTTGAACACAAAAAACGGACCGAACTAATTTGTACACCTAATAATAAAAACGAATTTTTTTCTTTCTAATCAGAAACTTAAATTTTAATTTTTATTCATCAAACTTTATTACGTCATTTTCTAAACTATTAAGAGTGTCCTTTCTAGTTTCAAGGTATGATTTCTTAGTGTTGTCTTTTAAAAAGATGGAGAACTTGTGAAGTGGAGGAACCAACCGGTCGTCTTGCTAAACCGTTCGGTGCTTGTGACAGGTAAAGAGACGGCGTAACACCACGGTGGGAGTCAGTTCTGTTATAGTAGGCCACGAGACAGCAACAACTCTCGTGCTCCTGCAGACCTTGCTCGCGTACACAGCTCACGTTCGGCTTCGCTCTCTCTCCTCGTTTCAACGCGCGCGCGAGTATCGTACCGTTAAAAAAAATCACGTTGTGAGCTATAGCATTTCGAGAGATTAATTCCGAACGAACGTTATCGTGTTGGTGAAATTGCTGAAAAAAAGAAGAAACAATTTGAGACAAGAATCGTGTAAAAACGATCAATGTTCAGTCATCAAAACTTTTGTCGCACATTTCGGAACTGAAGAAACGTAAAATCTGGTTCCTCGTACATAAATATCCATGCGTTCATTGCGGATATGTCGGAACGTTA